TGTATAGATATCAATATCAGTAGCACCTATTTTTGTTTTATTCTGTATTTTTTGTCCTATCATGATCAAACATAGGATCAATTTTTAAGTTACATAGGAGTATATTCTGACTATAGAGCTCTTTCTTTCTTTGAAAAATTAATTGTATCAGCTTGGGACCTGCCTGAATTTTGTTTTCAAAATTTTGTGTTCACTTTTTACAAATCTAATGACAGCAATTTTTCCAATACCATGTATAAGTAATATATTTCTATAGCTTTAGATTCTTATAAAGTAATTTGACATCTCAGATCAAAAAAGTTTTTAATTAATTGGAGGGTTTTATTTTGTTTTGTTTTGCGTTTTCAGTACTAGGGCTTAAACTCAGGGCCTACACCTTGAGCTACTCCATCAGCTCTTTTTGGCAATGGGTTTTTTCGAGATAGGGTCTCACCAACTATTTGCCTGGGCTGTCTTCAAACAGTGATCCTCCTGACCTCTGCCTCCTGAGTAATTAATGTTACAGGAGTGAGCCACCAGTGCCCAGCTAATTAATTGGATTTTTAAGATTTCAAAAGATACCTGGTATATTTTTATAGAAAGTGCCATAGATATATAACTAAAACAAAGGTTTATCCTTGAGACTGTAAAGATTTAGATGAGATCCTGCTAATATTTGATCAGAACATTATTGGATTTCCAAATGCCTAATTACAAAGTGCTCAAAATGTTCTGTGATGCTTACAAACTTTGATTTTAGAAGCATATTTCCAAAATGATGCAAGAGGGCACTCCTATGCTAGTGGGAACAAAATGCCATTTCCTCTTACATAGTTGGGAACGGATACCTCATATTAATAACCTGTAATTAATTCTCATAACCAGTGCCTATGGCAAGATTGCATGATGCCTTATCATCATTTGATGGCTTTTTTATAATTTTATTGATGTGGTTCACCTAGAATTCTTCCCTTCTAATTTGTTAATTTTTAAATTAGGGATTCTTTTAAGCAATAAATCTTTTATTTTCACTTCTACTTTTAGTTTCTGGCCAGTTATAAAATGTTCCAATGATTCAAAGTTACTGGTGTCTAAAACAAACTATATTAGCATATACTTACTTGTCTTTGTTTTCTGGTTTATCTGAATGTTATACACATAAAATTATCCCACCAAAAACATTATGTTGGATGTTAATTAATTTTGCATTTTATCTCAGACATGATGTAACAATACATGCAACCACAGTTAAACTCATACTAACATAAATAGTGCCATCTCTAATGGAAGATTAACAGAAGAATTTCTTTTATCCTTGTAAAAAGTTATAAGAATGAATTTCTACAAAACTAGCACACTTTTGTGTTTAAGACACATTTTGCTTAACAGACTATGCTAAATTTTTATTTTGAAAGAAATCATTTTGCTTTCTTTTTTGAAAGAAATCATTTTGCTCCTCTAGCTAGGAGGTAAGAAACATAAGGAGGGTAATTATAATGGGATTTAAATAATTCAGTTAGATTTCTTTGCCAATAAAATAAAGCATGTTCTCTTGGTTTTTTAAATAAGCACTAAAATATGCCTTTCAATGTACTAATATTGTTTTTAAAAATACACAATACTGTCATCTCCCCAGCTAGAATATTATTGTTTTCTAACAACTGATCTGGCAACCATTCAGAGGCAAATAGTATTATGCTTTCATATTTTCAAATATATCTGAACTGCTGTTGATTGTTCTCCAAATCAGGTCAGATGCAGTCTCTGCAGGAGCATTTGCCAGAGGTACTGTATGTTCAAATGGAAGATTTTCATGTTTCATAGTCAGCTTCATTTATTTTCCAACCCTCTAAATTTTTCATTCTAAATAGCAACATCTCCCTTTATGAACCATGGGATCTTCATTAATTAAACAGAACCAACAGGACTGATTTATTCTCTCTTCTCAGCTGAATTACCAAGCACACAAATCAGAGAGGAAATATTTGTAATACTAGAATGTTCTCCAAGCCAGTAAATCTGGGATTATCTCATCATACTGATTATGTCAAAGCTCTTTAGCCACTGTGCTCACTAAGACATAAAATTGAATGGAATACTTAATACTGGCCCCTTTCCAGCAACATAGGCAGAATTCCAAGTTTTTCTTACAATAATCAGAAAGCCCCAATTATCAATAAAAATAGCTGTGATCATTCATTGACTGTCTGCTCCTTGCCAGGCACTTTACATGCATCATGTGGGTTTCAGAAGCTGTGACTCATTGGTTCTAGATATTTTTACCAAGGATCCAAGGATTCTTTTTTTTATAGTATGTTCAAACAAATATTTATTTGCTAGTTAATCCAGATATGGAAGGAAATACATTTTAGTTTTACCAATCAGGAAGGAAATACATTTTAGTTTTAGTACAAAGACAGAAGGGAAAGTGATTGTGTTTTTGAAGCATCAAAATCATTTCTCTGCTGACTCAGTTTTACTTTTTGCTAATTGAGTAGCTAATGTAATTGCATGTTTGATACTGAGGGGGGCGTGTGTGTGTGTGTGTGTGTGTGTGCACACGCATGCACATGTAGGCATGTACAGAAAAGTATGTTTTGAAGATAAGATTAATCAAATTTTATGATATTCCATTTATATTTGGAGTAAGGTCAGATGTTGATTTGTTGATGAAAACTGCTTACAAAAGACAAGGATGACTTTTTTTGGTAGAACTTTCTAATAGGCATTGTATAGAGTCTATAGCTACATATTTTTCTTTGACATTTTCCTTTTGATTATTTTAAATTACCAATTTAATAGACTGTCTATATATGGGCAGTTATAATATTTCAAGCATGAGAATATTATTTGTTAAAAGCCAGATAGAAAAGCATGTACCTGAACTTATTCCTCAGTATTGTTCCTGTTTTTCTTCCCTTCCCACCCTCCACAAGAAGGGAACATTATAGGGGACAGGGGATTTTAAATTATAGTCTCTTCTTTGGACTAACATATTGTAAATGTGCTCATAAACATTAAAGTTACAGATACCAAGAATTTAAAATAAGGAAAGCACTGACATCCATCCATCCTTTTCCTTTTAAACCTGCACCCTGCATGGAATAAGTCCTCATTTCACCTTGCAGTGGTGTTCATCTCTCTTATGCTATACTTGTTAGTATTTCTTTAAAACCACTTTCAATTTAGGCAGCATTCCAGCTTTATAAAGGCCTTGAAGTGAAATTAACCTGTGTTGAATCAAATGCTTTAGTAAGTTTAGCCTTCATAATAAGAAATTCTTTTAAAGCATTTTAAAGAGAGAATAATAATATGGATTATTGTCAAGAAAATAATGATTCTTTGTACCACTTAACCACACTCTAAAGCTTTGAAACTATGGCACTGTCTGGGCCTTCTCACCTTCACCTTGATTCTTAAACAACTTGAAGTCCTTTGCTACATGGTGAAACTAATACTAACGTTCTTCCATGGAAAGATACATTTATAAGATTTAAACAGAGGAACTGAACCAATTGTTTAGAAGGAGATGAACAAGATTTAGAGCATAAAATTTTTAAAAATGAACCAAATCAGTAATGACAATGGAACTGACCATCTGCACTAAGTTCAACATTTTCCATTCCTGTCATCAATAGCCAATAAAGTGACTGAGGTTTGTGATAATTCTCCAATTGTGTTTTATGGAACACTAGCCCCATGTGTACCATTAGTGTAAGTAATACTGAATGCTTTTAAAGATTCAGAGAACACATTAGCATATTAATGGTGCTGGGAAATCCAACAGTAAAAGATTGTATTTGTCTGTTTTTAACATGGTGAATCTGAGACTTACTTGACCAATGGAATTCTATCCTTCACATAGCAATTATTAACAATTCTTGGAACACACTTTGGAAATGTTGGAGATACCATTAAATTCATAATCTTGTTTGATCTTTATGGGTGCTGGCCTTCAGACTTAATCTAAGATACGACGCTGCTTCTGAGATTGTGTTTGGTAGGTCAGAGACTGGGGAAACTAATCTAGAGCAGATGCAGGTGGTGTGGGGTAAACCAGGGTAAGAAAGAGCTTCCAAGGAGAGGAAGCAAATCTCCATCCTAAGTCCAAAAGCTGTCTGCCCAACTCTCAGAATCTGGGCAGATGGTGTATTTAGAATATTCATCCAGCTGAGACTGGAAGTAAGATATGAGGTCTGAGAAACAGTACTTACCAGGTAGCAGTATGGTTTTCTGATGTTATTCTACCATTCCCTAATGTGCTATTGGGCACTTTGTGAAATAAATTGATCTTTTATACCTCCTTGCTCATCTTTGCTTGTGTTCTTCCCTCAAATGCTTTTCAGAATATACTTATTTGTTCTGAGAACATGTCAGGCACCATAAATTCAGAGATAAGAAACACATCTCCTGTCCTCCAGGAGGAATCTTAAGGAAGATTTGATTCTTTACAATTAGCATGAGTTAATTCCTTAGGGAGGCAAAATATGGCAGAAGAGAAAGTATTGTTGAGGTAGGTATAAAACAATATGCTTCACACTATAGACTTCATCCATACAGCATGGGTTGCAACTGAACTTTTAGCAGGTAAGTGATAACATGTGATTTGGCATTTAGGAAGAGCTTTGGTCTCAATGGAGAAGAATTAGAAAAGAACTAGAACAAAGTCAGAGAAGCTATTTCAGTGACCCGTGCTATTATTCTGGACAAGGAGAGGAGGGAACAGATTTCAGAGATGCTAGACAGTCATAGGACTTGCTGACTGACAATATCAGGTAAGGAAAAAAAGGAGTCAAGGATGATATGCTACACTTCTTCATATCAAAGAAAAAAGAAATGGTTTTCATTGAACCTTAAAACATGTCTGAGACTTATTAATACTGTTGGGTCCAGTTCAAACTGCTTCCTATCCCAGGGCTCCCCACCAAGGTAAAATCAATGTCACTGGGTTCAGGACTTGCATGGCTGGGTAGAAACACAATCTATTCATATTCTTATTTGCATTCTTTGTTCTTCTCAAGTCATGTAACACAGACGACATCCTGGATCCATCCTGTGATGAGTGTCCTGAACCTGTCTTGCTCAGAAGAGAATGAAGAAGATTTCTCTAGAGACCTTTCCAACCAGAAAAGTTGATGATTTTCTGCAAGAAGCAGAGCTCCATGGTCTTCTCAGTCTACATGTAGAGTTGAGCAGAGACACAGACACCCAACTCTGAGACACACCAACTGTCTGAAATATAGTGTGAAATAGAAGACTCTAGATTTAGGGTGTTTTTACAAAGTTTTTAGAAATTACTATATACATTTAAACAATCAGTTGCCACTCCAGTAGTTGAGAATAGTCGTATTTTTTGAAATCACATATCATTAGATTTTATGGAATGTATACTTTTTTCACATATAATTAGATCATATCTTTATAATTTTATATGTAGCCTATTATTTGGTATCAAATACAATTGTTTTATAATTAAGATTTGTATTGAGAAATTATGTGAAAATAGTAAAACACTTCATTTATCTGATAACTCAGTAACCTTTTATATTCATTTCTTAGGATAGTAATCTTAGCAAGCTTTGGGGGGTTTAAGGATCATATTTAGACATCTGTCTCGTGGGCTACTGAATACAACTTACATCTTTATGGGGCTTTCTAATTTATAAAATGGTTTTCAGATCTCTTGTTTTTTAAACCACACAACATGCTTATTAGGCTGAATGTAGGGGGCATCTTTATTCTTATTTTTCAGCTACAGAAATAGTGGTTTAGAAGGACCAAGCATCCTGTCCCAGGGCTGAGACTTGCACCTAAGTCCAGCCCCCTTTCTCTGCACCCTACTGTCCTCACACAGGGTACCATGACTTTGTTGATGCAGCTGGCTCCACAGCTGTGCATTCCACAGTGATTCAAAAGGTACCTCTCAATCAAACATGGCCCCTCCATAACCCCACTATTCTTCCTCTGAAAATCTTTTTTCCTTTCACCCCCACTCACCAGGTAGGGCCACTGCTGTGTGGTGTTGTTTCAACAGGTTTCAAGTACAAGGACTGGCTCCACATCAGTGGGCTGCCCTGCCTAGGTCACTTTCGCCATGGGGAGTATCTGCAGGGAGGTGAAAAGAAGTATTTTTTTCAAATACTGCTCCTCCTGGGAGGCCAGGAGCCCAAATGAAACAGTCCCCAGCACTGCCATGCAAACTCAGAGCTCCCAAGAATACAGTAACCACTCTTGTAGTCACTCTACAGATAAGTCAACTGAGATGCTAAGAGTTAACAGTGAGTCAACAGCTGGGGCAAGACTAGTTAGCCCTACAAGTGAACTAAACAGAACTTTCTCAAAAGAAGAAATTCAAATGGCCAAAAAACACATGAAAAAATGCTCACCATCTCTAGCAATAAAGGAAATGCAAATTAAAACCACACTAAGATTCCACCTCACCCCTGTTAGAATAGACATCATCAGCAACACCACCACCAACAGGTGTTGGCGAGGATGCGGGGAAAAAGGAACCCTCTCACACTGTTGGTGGGAATGTAAACTAGTACAACCACTCTGGAAAAAAATTTGGAGGCTACTTAAAAAGCTAGACATTGATCTACCATTTGATCCAGCAATACCACTCTTGGGGATATACCCAAAAGACACAGGTTACTCCAGAGGCACCTGCACACCCATGTTTATTGCGGCACTATTCACAATAGCCAAGTTATGGAAACAGTCAAGATGCCCCACCACCGACGAATGGATTAAGAAAATGTGGTATCTATACACATGGAATTTTATGCAGCCATGAAGAAGAACGAAATGTTATCATTCACTGGTAAATGGATGGAATTGGAGAACATCATTCTGAGTGAGGTTAGCCTGGCCCAAAAGACCAAAAATCGTATGTTCTCCCTCATATGTGGACATTAGATCAAGGGCAAACACAACAAGGGAATTGGACTTTGAGCACATGATAAAAGCAAGAGCACACAAGGGAGGGGTGAGGATAGGTAAGACACCTAAAAAATTAGCTAGCATTTGTTGCCCTTAACTCAGAGAAACTAAAGCAGATACCTTAAAAGCAACTGAGGCCAATAGGAAAAGGGGACCAGGAACTAGAGAAAAGGTGAGATCAAAAAGAATTAACCTAGAAGGTAACACACACGCACAGGAAATTGATGTGAGTCAACTTCCTGTATAGCTATCCTTATCTCAACCAGTAAAAACCCTTGTTCCTTCCTATTATGGCTTATACTCTCTCTACAACAAAATTAGAGATAAGGGCAAAATAGTTTCTGCTTGGTATTGAGGGGGTAGGGGGGAGAGGGAGGGGATGGAGTGGGTGGTAAGGGAGGGGGTGGGGGCAGGGGGGAGAAATGACCCAAGCCTTGTATGCACATATGAATAAAAAAAAAAAAAGACTAGTTAGCCCTAGATCCTAAGTCTCCTAGTCTACTGAATTTCACATTGGTATAATATCTGTAGACATTGGGCTCATCTATTATCTTCCTGAACACACAGGACTTTTGCTTCATGTCTTGAGGAATAATACAAAGTCAAATCCAGACTGACAGGTGGTCATTATCCCTGAGAAAAGTTTCAGGAGAAAACTCATGCTTCTCCTGACAGCTATTTAGATATTGGGAAAATTTAGGGAGACCAATTTTGAGAGAAGCCCCAGAAGAGCTATCTCCTTGTTTCCACCAGAAGTGAATGGACTCTCAGACATTCAGATCACTTCTATAAGTGAGTATCTGTAATTGTGAATGTGCAGGCTTTTGTTGTTTCCTAACTAATGGTATGAAATTCTCTCCCCAACCTGGAGTGTTTTCTGTCTCCTTTTTAACTAAGGAAAATACAGAGTAGATGCTCAAGTTGCTGAGATCAAGGTCCTAAGGAATGCATTCCACTGATACCTCATTTCTTCACTGCTGTTTTATGACATTTTTCGCCCTGTTTTTATAAAATTCCTAATGGAAAAAGGACTGTAAAAATTGTAATGATATTTATTGAGCATTTTGTGCCATATACTGTAGTGAACAATTTGCATATATTACTGTATTATTTTCTTTTTTGTTTTTTGAGACAAGGTCCACTATATAGTCCACGCTAGCCTCAAACTCACAATCCTCCTGTCTCAGCTTCCTGAATGCTGAGATTCCAAGCATGTTCTGCCATTCCCAACTATCATTATCATCTTAAAACCACTCCATAGGCAGGAACTGTAATTATCATTTTAAAAAGAAACTAAAGTTTAGAGAGAGGTGGTAGTCTTTGCTGAAAGGTCACACAACATGCTGAAAGGTCACACAGCATCCACGTGTAGAGGCTGGGGTTCAAGGCAAGTCTTTGATTCCATGGCCTATTCTTTAAGCAGGGATGCTTTGACTTAGCCAGCTTTATAAGGCAGATTCAAGTTGTCATAAGGTTTCTGTTAGGTGCAGTTTATCAGAAAAGAACTACCAAGGAGAAAAATGGAAACACTGTTAATCTGAGCTCCCTATCATGGGAATGCAGCTGAGGAGGTTCTGTGTCTGAATTAGCTAAACCAGTTGAGCACTCTGAGATTCCGTCCTCTTTATGCTTCTGTGACCTCCAAACCTTAAGAGACAGGTACTCAAAGAATCCAGTGGTGAGGATTCAGTAAGAATCCTTTTCCAAAATAAACAGAACACTCATATTGTTTTTCGATGAGTTGATATTTATGTAGCCAGTCTTTCTTTAACATAAATTAACCCATCAGTGTTCTCCATTGACCCCCTGACTCAAATGTACAGTTGGAATGTCTGAATGTAATTATGTCCCTGCATCCTCCCTTCTGAGAATCAGCTTATGCATTCCTTTAGAATATCCACTGAGCACCAATACTTACACTATGGTAAGCACTGTCTAGGCACTGTGGCAACATAGGACATCAATTAACGAAAGTCTTATGTAGCCAAAGTTTAAAGTTACTTTTTAACTTTTAAGTTCTTTAAGTAATCTATTTTTAGGAAGAATCAACTACTGTGGAAACAAATAACTTAAATAAATAGCCTATTTCACTTTCTAGAGGTTGCCATCACCAGTACTTTGGTGAATATTTTTACTCAAAGAAAACATACCGTTAAGCAGCTTGCCTTTGACTTAATATATTGTGGTTGTCTTTCCATGTCAAAGTTGTATTTCAAATGCCTGCATAAAACATCACTATTCAGATAATCTGCATGCAGCAATTTATTGATAACACTTAGACTGTTTTGAGTTCTTGTCTATAACAATGTTGCAGTGAATACACATATGTTCGTTCAACCCTGTACCATATATATCTATATAAGGATGACCTTAGATATCTCTATATAGTCTAGTGCCAATATGGCTGTAGTGTGAATACATTCATAAAAGTAAATCACTTGGTCAAAGCTAGTTCAAAAATGTTCATTTTAATTTTATAAATAGTTATACATTCTCCTCCATAACATAGAACCAATTTACACTACCACCACTGGTATATATAAAAGGATTTTTTTTTCCTCTAGATGATAGAACATTTTTTAGTCCAAAGATTGCCAGTAACTTTTCTGATTTTTTTTATCCTTAAAAAGTAACCTTTCCGTCATTGTCCAAGAACCTGAGCGTTTTTGTCATTAGGTTTTAAATGTTCTTTAGCTCCAGAAACTGACGTATTGTATCTAGGAGAATGGAGCAGTAATGAATTTAATGTATTTCAAATGCACTGTTGCTCTCATTTTTTCATACCTTACAGATAATGGTGTTGGGGTCCAGCTCCTAAATATGCTAAAATGGGTGAGAGCCCTTAGTAAAGTATAATACACAATACGAAAGCACCTCCAGTTTCCACTGGCCTGTTTCCCCATCTGTATAATGTGGATATACTTGTTCATCCTAAGGCAATTCAATTCAGCAAACATTTCCTGAGCACCTGCTGAATGCCAGACGATGCAAATTTCTTATGTTACCATGCTAGATAGTACTGATTCCCAAGTGAAGGAGCTCAACATCTAAAATCTTTCTCCTTTTTTTTTCCCTAAAAACCCTTATTTTTCCTTTAAAAGGGGTAAGAAGTTAGGAGTTTGTTTACTAAGAACTCCTTAAATTTGAATAACTCCAAAATGTTAACACCCCTTGACTAGAAAAGGGAAAAAGGACAATGACATGTGAAGAGCCTCTCCAACAATAAATGCAAAGCAGCTGTCAAAACATAGAGTCAAATGACACCCACATAAAATGTTTGCACAATTAAAAATGTTATCCTTTTTCTGGAGAGAAATGGGGCACTTTTATTTTCTCTACAAAATGAAATGCAACTTTTTGAAGGGTCAACACACTT